CTAATTTTGCTATATAGCACCATCATCAGTGCATTATCGTGCTATCTCTTCATATCATCAAATCATTGAGCTGTTGTTGCATCGCTTCATCGGTTTCCCACCATCGCATCTTCAAGCTAGTAAACTACATGACCTTATCTGGATTGAATACTTTCAATGGAATGCGACTTTTTAGTAATTAAACTTTATTTCTGTGCAAAATTATGATGAAAATATTCCCTCATAATTTTTTTCTTTATCACAAATAGTATGTGAAGTTGGATTCCACGGTCCAAATTGCACATGGCAATGTATACCACCATTTTTTGGAAGAAATTGCCAGTTCCTGTGCAGCAAAAAAAATTGTCATCATGCGTATGGATGTGAGATACATAATGAAGGTATTTTTTCTTACGTATTTTTTTTCACGTTTTAGAACGATAAATTGTAAAGAGGATAGAGTATCCCTTAAAATAGTCAATCGTCAGAATATTTTTAAAGCCCACATAACATAAATGTTCTTCACAAAGGATTTTTTCCTTTAAGAACTCAAACATTAAAAAATCATTTTATTTAAGCTGAATACGCAATACCCACTCCCAATACACAGACAATTGTAAAAACAAATAATGAGGCATCAACCAAGCATCCCTCAAGCATAAGGAAAGGTACAGTTTTTATTGTTACAAAACGTCATCTGCATAAGATATTTTAGTACATTATTTACTTGAATTATCATGGATGGTATGAAGGAGTTGGAGAGGGAGCGTCAGGTTTGAAAATCTCAACGTCTCTGATTCCATTTTCAATTTTATTTCTTGCCTCAGCGTTGGTTCGCAGGAAGTATAAAATTCCTCTTTGAAATATTATTGTGGTAACTCTTCTGCAAAGATCTGCATAGAAAATTGCTAAATTATTTAAGATGGACCTTTTAAAAGAAACGAAATTTCAAAGATCGTTGATGTATGACTTTTTTCTCTGCATGGGTAAGTTAATAACATGCTTTTTCAATTGGTTCCTATATCATTGGTCTTGAATCGAAATATATATAGATAATGAACAGTATTTTTCCAATTGAAATCAGTACTGTAAATTTTACAATCTGTTAATGCAAACTGTTATGGTTTTCTTTTGGTTTTACATACTTTTGATTGTATTCTATGATAACCGATTTGCATTGTTTTTTTCTTTCAATTAAACCCACTTTTTATTATAAAAAATGCGTAACAGACATACAGACGGATGGACATACCGATTACTATATTTCAAGCAGGGGTTATAGCAAATACCATCATGCAGAAGTGAAATATGTCGTTTTTAAAGTAAATGACGAAAGAAATAAAACACAATTAACAAAATGGGGGTCAGAAAAGGGGACTCAAATATAGAGTATCACACATCTTAGGCAAAATATAACACAATCTGACCCCCGGCACCATAATGACATTGTTACATCATGTACATCAAAAATAAAATTTCTTTTCAAAGTGCGTTAATATCGACCATATTAACGCACTTTGAAGAAAAAATGTGTATGGATTGGTCAATATTCTTGCAAATCATAGGTTTGATAAATAATTGAACCTGTTTGATAACTCCTCTGTGATGAGGTCACTTCAGGATATGAAAGTGAGCGATTTTGATTTTTCCATACATTGAAAACTCTTTCTCACTTAAATGAATTACTGTACTTAATTTTTTTCCAGTTTGCATGCATTTTATGTAAACTAAAATTTATTGAAAGTTTTCAACGTCATACTAGTTATGTAAATACATATATTTGGGTGTAGCATAGGCATCAGTACCGGGAAGGGTGGGGTGGAGGGTTACATGTAGGCACACAAATGTTTTGCAAAGAAATACATAATATATGTATGCATTAAAAATTGGGGATTACCTGGGGGGTCAACTTTCAATTTGCTAACGACGGCTATGTACAATGTTTAAGAAAAAAAAAAGAGCTGGGATGAGAGGCCTCCTACTCGTCTTCTCCTTGTTCTCAATGAGGTTAAATGAGTACATGTAAGTTAAAAAAAGTTTTTCGAAAGATATAATTATTACAAATTGATTCTCAATTTTACTAAAAATCTAAGTCTAGAATTTTTTATTTCAAACATATTTTTTTTCAAAGTGCGTTAGATGCCTCCATGGTAAAAATGTTTATGTACACTCTTAACGCACTTTGAAAAAAATTTTCATAGTGCGTTGAGTGTGTCCAAAATTTAACGCACTTTGAAATTTTTTTTTTCAAAGTGCGTTGATTTTGTCCCAGTTTTAACGCACTTTGAAACAATTTTTCAAAATGCGTAATTTTTTCAAAGTGCGTTGCCACAAAGCATTCCTTTTTCGACCAGTAAAACCCACCATTGGTCCTTATCATGATCAGTCAAACAGAAAAATCCATGCAGGATGTGAAATTGGCGTAAAAATGTCAGTCAACATTCGACTTATTGATAAATTGTATTTGCTGAAAAGATAATAGTATATCGAGAACAGAGCTTCCAAACTGATGACATTGAGGAGAATGTTTCGTCAACTTATTTGTCTGTAGCTAACCTCTTTTTAGAAATTGTTCGTACGTAGAACATGCTCTAAATAATCAACTCAAAGACAGAGTAAAGTTTAGTGCCAATGAAATGAAAAAAACTATTTGCGTATGCTAGAAGTGGATCAAAAGAGGTAGAAATGGTTTATTGAAAGACAGATGTCCATAACTACATTTACGTCTTTGTATATTGCTAAAAAGTCCCATTTCATTCACATTGCTAAATTGTGGAATTGAAATACTATCGACATTGTCATTGCTATCTTAAGAAAACTTTAAGCCATATTTCCTACATAGAAATCTTCTCGTTGTCTTAAGAAAAATGACTCAACGATGGGCTATATAATATGATGATAAATCTTATCTAGAGTTTCAAGTTTCATTGACAAAACAAAATGATCAGATAAATTAAACTGCTTAACGAGATGCACCTGGCAAAATGTTCATTCGACATGTTTGCCCCGGCAATCTTTTTTTTTAGAAAAATATTTGAACATTGGTTTCATCACCATAAATAAGGCCACAAAAGATGCATTCTATTCTGCTGACAACAATAATCCTTTTTTGACAAAAGGTTAGAAAGAAAAAAATCAAATACGCATGTTTTCTGCAAATTTCAAGAACATTGCAATTTATCAAACCTGTTTTCCAATATCTGGATTCTCAAAACGAACTTTTATTATAGAAAATGAAAGCACCAAGTGTCTACTTTATTTTGACATATAAAATGGGAAAGAGGGTGATAGTTAATTATTTGATATAAGTACAGGGCCATTATAGGCATAAGCTGGCTCATGCTCTTTATTTTAGATTTAAGGAAAATTTGGAGTTACAGTGGGGATTTAATTTTGTGCATAAAGGATAATTGAGAAGGTATACTAATGAAATTTCACATTCCGTGGTGGAGATGAATACATCGGTTTCTTTATATCTCAAACGCAATTAAAATTAACCCTCCACCGTACAAAAAATTTATTTCAATATACATTTTCCGAATATTTCACGTACTGTGAAATACATATAATCAAAATTTGTGGGATCAATATTAGTTGATTGCTTAAGATTTTACCTGTTCAAAGGGACGTACTTTCCTGTATTTAATCAGATCTAGTAAAGGAAATATGGCTTTGCACCCCGTGTATTTCGTGCAAGAAAGATATACACAAAATCCACGAATACTGAACCACCACAGAATATAATGGTTCCACAGTTTTGTTAGGAGTTAATCTAACCGCACCCGGCATATTTCATATTGTATTTTGTTTTGCACTTATCGAATTGTGCGCTTCCTTCATTTATCAAATATCATCGTTTATCATATGTTGCATTGTCGCCCCCGTGGTTCAGTGGTTACAGCGTCTGCTCTATAGTCGCGAATTCAAAGTAAGGAGCTGATCCTTACGTCGCGGGTTCGAATCCCACTGTGGGACGTGAAGACAAGTCCTTCAGATGAGACCGTATAAACCGAGATCCTGTGTCGCAGTAGGTGCTGACACGAAAAATATCCCTCACTGCTAAATGGCCCTAAGTGTCGAGTATGGACAAAGTTTGCAGCTTTCCACCGGCAAGTGGTGGTGTTTCCATATGAATGAAAATTCTCGAGAGGGACTTTAAACAACAAACAATCAATCAATCATAGGTTGTGTTTGTGGTTTTCCATATCTGCTTTTATAAAAAAAAATCACCAGAGATATTCTGGGTCCATTTTGTTTTGTAGTTTTAAAACGATCTTTTGAAGTCCCTGAAAACTGTGCGTTTGAAGGAAACAATTGCCTTTTTGTTAAATTATATTTGTTGATAAATGAAGCGGATACAAACTTTGTTCAAACAAGAAACAAGTGATATTCAATGTTTTAGTGAAATATATGTATTATAACTAATATTTTGTTGTAATATTTTATAAACTTATGTGTGTTCCCATACTTTTTCTGAATTATATGCTAGCTGAAAAATGAATGAAAGCAGTATATGTCAATTGGTATAGAAGATAAGTTGGTTGTTCATTTTGCTCAAGTTAGAAAAGGATGAATATTGTTTCACTTGTACAATGTGCAGTAGAAACTTCGGTAATGTTTTCTATCTTATACATGATTCTGTAAAAATAAAAAGTAAAGTAGTTATTTGGGTGTTTGACGTCATTTGAAGTTTACTGCTACACTGGAACAGTCTACTCCCTCCCCCAGACATATTTCGAATATGTTAATGTGTTCGTTTTGATAATATTGCTTTGGATTTTTTTGTAAAACCATATGGATATTTGCAAGCTTCGCCTATATAAACGTGTTCAGAGTTTTTCTCAATATATAATTTATGTTCGGATGAATTGTTCAGTCTGACCATAAATAGCAAAACTATAGTGTATGCTTATTTTCATTAAAATCAAAACCATAGAGGAATGATTTGAAATCAAGAAGGTAGAGGCAAATAATTCAAAGAATCAATGATAAATAAATAAGATCACAATCAACTTTTTTACCTTTCTTTTTCCAAATTTGTTGTTCGTCTTCACACCTCAATTCTTTACATACAGCTTTACAGCTTTTAATTTTTTTAATGCAATCCGAAGCGTCTATTTTTGCAAAAACTTCGAAAGGCACTAGCAAAGCTATGCATATCAATATGCCTGTTAAGGTCCTTCAAATATAAAAAACACAAGATAAAATATAATCAATATACATATAAAAATTACGAAAAATTAGTTTTTCTGACCCACTAATTGAATTTTAGAAAATTGTCTCTCAAGTAAACAATTGAAATATTTTGAATTGTCAACGATAGAACAACTCACCTGGATCGTAGTCCATAAATGAGAACAGATTTAGTACATGTTTCAAATTAGTTAAAATGTAAAGTTTTTAGTGATTTTTAAGAGACAAAAAAATTATTCGTGAATCTGTACAGGAATTGTTTAGAATATTAAACAAAGAGCATGATATTCAAGTTTTTTGTCTATGGTCTTTGGGTCTGGAAATTTTGAAACTTAAATCTTAGCATCAGAAAATTTTAAATAAAACAAACCAATCCTTCAGCCTGAAAACAGCTTGCATTAATTGTAGTTATAATGTAGGAAGGCAACCCTAATTCCAGATCAGTTTTATTTATCCCTTATAAACATTTAAATTGCAATCCCTGATATTGTACGATTCTCAGATTTAACTTCATTACAACCCCTGTCTTATCTTTTCAATAGATACATATTTTTTCATGCAACATAACTTTGATCCTGCATTACATTTTTTAAAATAAAAAAATACTTTTTTTGTACTTACATTCTTTTTTTTCTTAATTCCAACAGCGTTGAAAATTGCAGAGTGATATGCATCCACACGATTTGACCTTAAGTATATTACGGAGACATGTTTGCAATGACTAAAATCTACTCGAATTACATTTTAATGATATACTTACATGATATAGATATTGAAAGCACTTTAAAATTCACTTTCATATGGGTAGCCACTACCGCCCCAGCCCGGATTTGAACTCTCGACCTGCGGATTCTGTTTTCTAGCTGTGCAGAAACAGCGCACTAGACCTGTCGGCTATCTAGACAAGTCAAAAAACTTTCCTTCGATGTCTATGAAATTCTTGTGGTGCTGCCCAACACTACACGGTCATTGAGAATGGAAGAAGGATATGAAGATAACGAACAGTATTCAATATCAAAGTCCATAAAACAATACAAAATAGGAGCAGAGCAAACACGGACCTCCGAAACATCAGAGATGGGATCAGTTGCCATGGAGGAGTGAGCATTCCCTGTTGACCAGTGATACAAGTGAGATACAGCTATTTGGACATCAGTGATATAAGATGATCGTTACAGGATATGTCTTATCTGTAAGCACATCACTGACAGAAACAGCTTTAACAGTCCAGTTACAGGCCACAGCTATAATATACTAGGGATTTTGTCCTGTCAAACATGCATTTATCTCACCAGTTATAAAGCTTCTTTATATTCTTAAAAAGATTTCACCTATATATTCCATAGCTGCAATATCTATATTACATCTGTAAACCTATAAGGTTTAGAATGGACATTGAAATTCAAAGTCAGAATATATGTGTTAAACGGAAATGATAGACTAGATGTGGTTACAATTAATAATCGTATTTGTTAATCAATAACGTATAAACATAATCCTTATGCTTATTAAGAAAATTAGTCATATTTATCATACAATTTCTTGCGACAGATTGCCGATGTCTTTTTCTTGTAAATCGTGCAAATGATAAAATATATGCACTAGCCTCTGTTATGTCTTTCATTTCCAGTTTAGAGAAACATATCGGTTCTATGATTATATAACGTAGAAATATATACTGTTATTTGACAAAATTCTTAACGTCATCGATATACTAGTACCAAAATGTCGCATTGAAGGCCATGGGAAGAATCTTCTTCTTTTCAATTAGAATTATTTTAATAAACTCTAATTTAAATGAATACAAATATTAATACGTCTGAAAAAAACATCATTATTACTATATTAAACCATTAAACATTCGGTCCAAATGTTAAAGAAAAGCGACATGACTTTGATATTGAATGCTGTTCGTTATCTCTATATCCTTCACCGATATAGTAAACCATTTACTATGAAAGGAAATTAGTGTCTTCAATAAAAGTATCTGCTATTTTACGTCAACAATGACACCAACAATATTACAACAAACGTAATAGGTCAATAAAAATGTAAGAAAATCTATGGTTGGTAAAAACGGAAAATCCGATAAACCTCCTGAAATTTCGGAGTGTGTCTCAAGACAAAATGAGTATATTATAAAGAGAGCGTTATAATACCTGCTTTTAAAAAAATAATTGTCAGGTTAATGATTCTGGATTTCGAAGAAAAGGAATGGACTTAAATGGATAAGAATTTTGAAATTTAGCGTTATACTTCAGACATAAGCATTATGTCAAGGAGGACATCATATCAGGAAAGTAGGTCTTTTCAGGAAGGTTTTCATCGATGCTTGCAGACCTCATACCGATAACAGAAAATATCTATCAAATTCCATTCCTTAAATTCTCTCATTACAGGGAAACAAAATTTTAATAGTAATTTTTTCTATAGGGAAATATTTATTCCAAACAAATCAATTCCTCTAGGAGGTGGAAAATTGGCAAATGAACATACATGCACGTGTAGTTAATTTATACTCCGAACAGGAAGAAAGTTTTTTTTCATGAGTAATTTTCTGTGATAAAAATCATTGAAGATGACGTTTTATGTTTTCACCTATTTAATCCCATTGACCATTTTCTTCCACTGGATAACAGAATCTTCACTTCAGAGGTGTGGTGGGTACGTACAAACGATTCATAAAAAGGGGCTACATATACTTATCATTTTATGGTTAACACCAGTGTACATCTTTTTATCTGAACCTTATTTAATTCAAGTAATTACTTTTTACGAAAAACATGTGGTCATTAAAACCATATGAAACGTAGATTTATAATTTTTAAAAGCGCTTTAAGACGTTATAAAATTGTTGAGCTTCTGATGGAAAACTTTTTTTCCAGTGCTTTGACATCAAGTCTTCTAAAAATGTGTTGGCATCACCATTACTCTGACATCCACTTGTTTTCCGATTGGTTGATTGTATATTGTTTAACGTCCCATTCGAAAATTTTCCATTCATAAAAAGATGTCAACGTCATCTTATATCGATGAAGGGCTTCATATTTTGACCTTTACTCGGCACTCAGGGCCATTAACCAGTGGGGATTCTTTATCGTGCCAGCGCCTACCGTGATAGGGGACCTAGTTTTAAGGTTATATCCGAAAGACACGTCACTTTCTCTTCTAATGCCGAGTGCTTTGTAAAGAAATGATCACTACCTATCTGTTTACGTTTTAGGTTTGACGCGGCGCTGCGAACAAGAATCGAACCCGGGCCTAACGATCACCAAACGAATGCTCAACCAGTAGGCTACCGTGACAAGTTCTTGTTTTCCGAACAGTTATTTAACCGAAAATAAATTTAAATAACTGTTCAAAGTTTCTTTGAAAGACTATCCCCTCCGCACGCACGCAAGGATGTTCAAATTTTTCAATGTGTTGGTACTGTATGAAAAAAGATGTTTACGTAAAAAGTTTGAATTACCTTCAAACTTTTCTGGCTCCCCGATAATAAATATGAAACTTGTTTCCTAATCTACTTGTAATTATTACTGAGTAAAACTCAATGATCAGAAGGAAAGGTCAAATTTGTTGCTACCCTAATTTACAAAAAGTCTTTTCTCAAGGAATACACCTAGAATATAAAAGCCATAGCCCTAGCCAGTCAAAAGTTACATGGGTAAAGTTAAAGTTTTTGCGGAAAGACAGCTACACAGACAGACGGACGGACAGGGCAAACATTATCTACCAGCGAATCTTCGATAATATTTTCTTAACTCTTAATTGAAAAAAATATAAGCATTTCATACCACCTAAGGACGATTTATTACTCACAAAAAGAGGAGGGAAAATAAATAGAGTCGACTGAATGTTCAAAGCCAAACATTGTTATTATGCCTATAGAATTGTTTACACACATATATAGGCAGAAGTTTAATCATTATTATTAATTTAAAGAGAAAAATTGATGAGGAAATAAGAAATACGTTTCTCAAATGTACAAACTTTTCTACTTATGGTTAAATCAAACTTAAATCAAACTTAAAATCTGGTTATATTTTTTCCCCATTTTTATGGAATTGAAGGTTTTGAGTTTTTTATCTTCGCTAGTCAAAGGTTCATGAGGAAAGTAGCGTATATGGTATCCTTGCCTAGCGAAGGTGGGTTGTTATTAGTCAATGTGTAATTATAAACCATTCCCTGTTTACAGCCGACATAAGCCCTTTTGCTCTTAGATTAGTTTAACGGAACAATCTTTTTTCAAATTAATTTTGAAAAGAGGCTTAACAGGTATGAAACAAGACGGGAAAAATTAGACCAACTTATGGGTTATGATTGATTAAAAGGTCTCAACACAACCGTAGAAAAACTTACTTTAAATGGGATCTATGAGATCCCTGTTAAATCATTTTCTCTGTCTATAGGCTGGCTGGTTATAAAATTTATTATATGCAGGACACTCTCCTCAGTAGTGAATAAGTTGGAAGATTTTAACAATTTCTATAAAGGTGGTAAAGGAAAACTGCTTCACAAAAAAAGGAAAACCTGGCGACGAAAAAACTGAATTCCTCTGGTCTGTCATCGTCTTTTGGCTCTTATACAGTCAGTAAAACATCCACATGTGGCAATCTCTGTGGGTGTCTTTTAATTCAAGATCACGGGAATACTGATATGAATAGCAGTAAGTTATTGGTGATTGTTAAATGAAATATATGAGGACAATGTACAGTATTCAAGATCAAAAGTCCATTAAACAATGAATAATAGGAGTAGAGCAAACACGAACCTACAAAACATCAGAGGTGGGATCAGGTACCATGGAGGAGTGAGCATCGCCTGTCTACCAGTAAAACACATCGTTGAATATTTATATTGAGTTTAAGGCCACGGCGTCTTCTTCTCATATAAAGGATTTTAAATGAATTCTGCTTCATTCAAATATAAAAAAAGATTCAGGTCTCGGAATTCATCAGACAGACTTACTCTCCGGAGAATATAAATAATCTTGTCAATCAGGCCCATCAAGATCTTTTTTATGTCATCTTCGGATTCCTAGAATTGTGTGCAGATTTGGTATTTTTTTTTTTACAAAGATGTTTTGTTGATTACCAAGCACAATCTCTTTAATTAAGACAGCAGTCTTTGAAGTTAATTATATATCAAACTGATACTTTTTCCCACAATCTTTTTTTTCTATTTTCAAATAATTTAATTCTGGTTGTAACGCTGTATTTGATTGGATAAAAAATTTACTTTATATTGTATAAAATGGGTTGCCTACGTCACAATGACTTACGTCAAAAACGTATCAATCCGCCTGACGTTACATTCAAATTTATACAAATTGAAGTCATTTTATTAGAACAATCATCTTTTTTTCTTACATCAAATGAATGAAAATTAAATTATAAGCAATGAATTTAATAGCTACTCATTTTATACGGTATAAACTGGGTTGGAACAGTTTACACTTTTTTATAAACCGCTTCGCGGTTTATAAAGCGTAAATTGTCCCAACCCAGTTTATACCGTATAAAATGGGTAGCTATTAAATTCATTCCTTAAATAATACCAATAAAAGTAAATAGATGCATGTACATTGATTGTACTAAGCGTAGCATTATGAAACTTAAACTTAAATTTGTTAAAGTTCAGCATCAGGAAAGAATATTTTGTGAAATTTTCTCATCAGGACGAAAGCTTCGTTATATTTCCCTCTATAAGGGATATCCATATTTCAGTATATGTAAATTAAATTCTGCAGTCGTTGTTCGAGAATGAATATATTAAATATGTTCCTAGTGCTTGGTATATACATTTTTCTTTATCATTTTGTTTCATCGGAATCCAATTTATGCAATGGGTAAGTTATTAAGCACTAATTTTGTTTAAAATAATTAAAACAGTTTATAAAACTTCTCAAATGGTTATTGAACACATTCATTAATCAAGTATTTCTGTCTAGAGTATGAAACAAGGCAGAATTCAATTGAAAGTAACAAATTAATGATCTGCATCAATGGACGCAGTGTATCGAATATCGTTATATTCGATACATGGATTCACATACAATTTTGGTGCCTAACCCTGGCACTTGTTTTCTGACCTGACAAATGTTTAGGTTTGTGGCCTTAAACTGACCATTCTGTGTGTTGCTCACTAATAAAAAAGCATCAGGTCTGATTATAATGCCTTTGTTTACTCTTAAGAAATGGGCACTTATAGTCATGCATCGGGCGTTTGAAAGAAAAAAGTTACAGAGATTGCATTATATCTGATAAACGTCGACGTTTATATATAACTATGTTATTGCTGCATTAACAATATCAAATTTTGTCTTATCATCCCCTTACACTTCTAAAGCGATCAATTTTAGATAATCATTTAATTCAAATAAGGTTATATTAAATTTATTTGCTATTTGATTAAAGGCAGAGAACATAAACTCAATAAGATTTAAATCTATTTTAGTTTGAATGGGTTTATCTGCTGTTCTGGGTATAAATGGAACCAAGAAACGAATTCCTGCACATGTAAGTTTATATTGTATTTCACTTATTAATCGTGTGGTCATCATGGAAATGATTTTCCCCTCATAGCTAGAATTGAAGACAGTTTTCCTTTTCAGAAAACGGAATACATTGTATTAATGAAAAAAAATAATGTTTTTTTCATTAACGGCTTACAATTTGATTACGTTTCTTTTCCCCATTTCGTATCAAATCCGGATACTAGTAAAGCAATATACATGTACATATAGTTCAGTATAGCTTGATTATGCACCATCGTTGGTGTGATGTACGATGACAAAGATTCGACAGTGCGATAGGATGATGACAACGATGGAATGGCGCGAAAATGTGATGACGACGGCAGGAGGGCGATGGAGTGGTAAGGTGATACCCGTTATTGCTTTATCTTTTTATAGCATCATTGTCAGTGCATTATCGTACCATCGCCATTTCTCTGGTTATTGCTGCTTTGCTTCCTTGTTATCGCACCATCCCATCATCAAGCTTTCAACTACAAGTCCGTATCCGGATTGAATACTCCTATATTACCTTTTGACTGTTTGGTTTAAATACAAGATACAAGATTTTATTAATCCAATTTGGGCCCCCGGAGGAGCAAAAAGATTTACAAATAGAAGGAGGAGGATCCAAATGATAGAACAAGCATGATGATGATATTACATATAAAGAGCAATTGTTAAAAAAAAAAAAACCAAAAAAAGTATATAAGAGATATACTGAATATACATACATGTATCGTATTCAAAGTTACATACAAATATATATAATTTATACATATATATATATAGTTAAAGGCAAGAAACTGGGAAAGAGGTATATAATAATTTTTTTTTTTATGCTTATCACAATAACTTCAATTAAGGTAAATTACTAAGGAATCCAGCAAGTGATCTAAGGATGTCTTAATTCTTAACTTTGTTAAAACTGATCTATGTTGATTGTTTGTAAGAATATCTAGATAAGGTTCAAAACAAAATTTAGTCTTTATGCTGGTAAAGGTAGACAATTTGCCATCTTTATGTAAATTCCTGTCTTTTTCCCATGTTAATTTATAGAAATTCAGTAATATTCTTTTCAAATTGATTTTAAATTGTGGGGTTGACATACCTAGGAAATCACTAATTTTAATATCAATATGGTTAAGTAAGAAGTTAACACAAGAATACCATGAAGTAAAACCATTTTGGTGTAGTGTTTTAGAGCAGTTAAAAGCCTCACTAAGCAAGGGAAATTCACCATCTAGATTCTCTAATCTATGCCAGTATAACAACATATTTTTAATGACATCAAAATGTAAATTCAAACGTCCTAGCTCGGATCTTACAGCAAAATTGCTGCTTTTACCATGAACCATTAGTAAATGTTTGTAAAATTTAAGATTTAGAATTTCGCCTTCTAAGCTTTGGTATATTTTGTCTAGTGTTATATTTGGATTTCTCTTAAATTTAGAGGTTGTTGGGTCAAAAAAAACCCATAACTCTGAACCATACAGGATAATGGGTTTAATAGTGTGGTCAAATACATTTAAAGCAGTTCTAATTGATGGATTAAATGTGAGAAAGTCTTTTTGAAGTTTGAAATAGGCTTTTTTGGCTTTGTTACAACAATCATTTTTAGCATTACTTAGTGTTCCAGATGCATTAACAGTCAGACCCAGATACTTGTATTGTTTAACACATTCAATATTGTTGTTATCCAGATGGAAGGGAATTTTAACGTGTTTACCAGATGAATTGAAGACTATAATTTTTGTTTTCTTTGTATTAACTTTGAGACACCAGTCCTTACAGTATGTACTTAGTATATCGAGTTTTTCTTGTAGACCTTCAGCAGTTGGGGAGAGAAGTACCATGTCATCAGCATACATTAGGCAATGAATGGACATAGATGAATCATTGTTTAATTTTACAAAACTTTTAGAATTTGACAGATAATTTGATAGATCATTGAGATAAATCTTGAATAGGTTTGGGCTCATGTTATCACCTTGTCTAACCCCATTGTAAGTACGGAAGTGACCAATTAATTTGTTACCCAGTTTAATAGAAGAATAGCTTTTAGAATACATATCCTTAACAATTGAGTAAAATTTAGTGCTAATACCAGCTTTTAGTAGTTTAAGCTTCAGACCAGCATGGTTTATACTATCGAAGGCCTTATGAAAGTCAACAAAGCAAGCATATAGCTTCCCTTGTTTTGATTTGCAGTATTTTTCAACAAGTGTTTTCAAGACAAAAACATGATCTGAAGTTCTAGCTTGTTTTGTAAATCCTATTTGACAAGGATTGATTTTATCATTGCATTTTAAATATTTATCTAATCTTGAGTTAAGAATATAGTTAAAGAGTTTGCCAATTGAGCTGGTTATTGTAATTCCTCTATAATTGTTGGGATCATTAGTGTTGTTAGATTTGTATACTGGAGTAATGTATCCTTCACACCATGAAGAAGGATAATATCCATGAGTTAAGCAACCATTAAAGATTTTCAGTAATATTGGTACCAAGACCGTTTGACCATGTTTAAGCATTTCATTGCATATTCTATCAGTACCAGCTGCCTTACCATTTTTTAGTTTACCTATTGCTTTACTTATTTCATTGAAAGATATTTTGTAGTCAAGTTCATTAAATATGGGTGTTGTTGTTTTCTCAGCTTGTTTTAGTTGGTCTTTAAGAAACTGATCTCGATCGAGGAAATCCTCATGAGTTTTATTCAATTTTTTGAAGTGGTTTAACCACTCATTATTAGAGATTGATGTATCAATTGTCTTTGTATTTCCAGTTCTTAATTCGCCTATAAGTTTCCAATATTTTTTTGGATCAGTTGAATTTAAAGCATTTAGGTTGTTGATAATATTAGAATGGTATGTTCTAAATTTTTGTTTTCGTAGTTTGTTATATATTCTATATGCTTTGTAATATTGATTCTTAATATTGATATCTCTGGGGTAGTGGCCAAATAAAGTTCCCTTCCTAACTAGTTTTGAGCGCATATTCATCAACTCGTTATCAAACCATTTCTTTTTATGTTTAGCAGAGCTTTTATTACTTTTACATGTTTTATTTTTAGGTAAGTTTGGTTTTAATGACATAATGGCTGCAGCTTCCAGGGAATCTTTTAATCTATTTATTGTCGATTCTATAGATTCTATGTCATTGATGCTCATGGTGTTATCAAGATTGCATTTTATTTTGGGGGATTGTAATGCCTCTATAAATTTAATAGCAGAGTCTTCCCCCCACTTAAAGGATGAATGGGTCTTGTAATTATCATTATCTATACTATTTTCTCTATTAGAAGAATCATGTTGAGAAAAAAATATTCCATGATAACATACAGTGGCAGTCAGATAATGTGGAAATAAAATCTGATACTTCAAAAAACAAATACATGTATACACTGTAGCCGTTGAATTAACTTTACTTCTCTGCAATATAAAAAAGAAGGTATTCACTCCTAAATAAATTATTGCTTTCTCACAAATGAAAAACAAGAGACCCATTTATCTCATTTTTTCTAACATAGTATGTGAAGTTGGATTTCATGGTCCAGGTTGCACAAGGCGATGTGAACCTCCATCATATGGTAGAGATTGTCAGTCTCAGTGCAATTGTAGCAAATACGACTGTCATCATGCTTATGGCTGTGGTATACGCTTTGAAGGTATTTTCTCTTATTATTTATTTTCATGCCATTTTAAGAAAGATAAATTGTTGTAAAGATAGAGAAGCACTACAAAATCAAGTTGCAGAATAATTCAAATAGATTTTGTAACATACATTTTATTCACAGACGAATCCTCTTAGAAATATCCAATTTGAATAACTATTACATATTATTGTTGAGCTGTAATATCACAAATTTAAATCATTTATCATTGTTTTTAAGCTGAATACGCAGTATCCACTCAAAATGCACAAAAATTTGTACAAACAGAAAATGAAGCATCAACCAGTTATCCTTCAAGCACAAGAAAAGGTATAGCTTCTATTATATTATATTCACATCTGCATAAGGTATTTTTGTGCATCATTACTTATTTGAAATATTTTGCTTGGAATAAACTAGTTGAGAGAAATTCTCGGGTTCGATAATGTTAACTAAATATTTTCCTTTTTATCCTTCATCAGTTTCGTTTTTGAGCCTTTACGTTGCTTCGCAGTAGGTATAAAATTCAACATTTGAATATTTGGCGTGGTTACAAATATGTTAAATATGGGTCTTAAGTAATGGGCTCGAGATAATATATCTAAGCCTTGTGTCAAGATAGATCTTTACTTCTCTGCATTGATAAGTGTATAGGTATCATATACAAACAAGGGTCTTGAAACAGGAAGAATTTGATATTACGGTGAGTTTGACTGGTATACTGCAATAAAAACTTTTCAATTCGAAATCTACAATTTTCCATTTGTATGGTAAATCGTATTCTTTTATGCGACCGGATCGATATATCCGGAGCGTATACGAGGGCTGTTCAATAAATAATGTCCTGAACTGTCTGACATAGAATACAGATATCATATGACATTAAGCTTGACTTTTTCGCATTATTGAATCTTTAATGAATTTATAACAATTTGTGTGACCACTTTTCATCACATAGTTCCATTGTGAGAAGCTGGAAAATAAGGGCTATCCGAGACACTGCATTAAAGTGAATGGTAAAGAATCAGAAAATTGAGTAAAATTAAACACTTCATTAAAGCTGCTGTAAAACTGTTAAGAATCCCAAAGGCTTAATACTCAGAAGTCTCCCTATGTTTTGAAAAATGAGTGAAAACGACAGCGTGTAAAAATATCTAAACAATTATTTTAAAATATCAGTAATTGTAGTTATCAACGTTTGTTTGAAATACAAACAGATAATAAAACTTGATTCTATTGCTTAAAACCCTCGAAACAAAATTTACAATAAGATGTACTTGACAAGAACAGCAAAGGTCTGAGAAGAGCAAACAATTGCAGGGGCACAAAGACAGATTTATATGCAATTCTCTTAAATATAAGGCAGTTTATATTCTGGAAGTCTAGAAATATTTTTTTTTTTTGCAAAAAAAAAAAAAAAAAAAAAAAAAATATAAAAATTAATGAGAGGAAGGAACCAGAATCAGGAATACACTACATTAAATTTCTTCATGACATCGTCCAAACCCGCACGCCCTGAATAGTAAAGGAGTTTTTTGGATAAACAGAAAGTTAAATTTTTCACATTAACAATATTCGCCAGATATTTCGCCTGTTGACTTGTTCCAAACTTGAAAAAACACCTTTCAGAAGGAAGAAACAAGTCCAGGAAATCATAAGATCCATTTTCCAGTATACTAAGGGTCATACCCAAAAATGAGTTCTAAAAACAATCAAAAATTGGATAAAAAATTTTTACGGACATGTGTTTTAATTAAAAGAAAATATCAAGTTAAATCATTACCGTCTTCCTTGGAAGACGGTATTGTATAGTTGAAGTTTTTTACAGTCTTCGGACTATGCACTTCCTCTCTTTTTTGATTGGTAGAAAATGCATGATGAGAAAATTTTCAATTATTTCATTGGTTGAAATGCTGTTCAAGGCAAGGGAGATAACTTTCTGATGATCTAATTTTCGTACGACCTAACGATTTTGCAAGATTTTCAATCTTAAAAAAAATGACAAAACGAACAACAAAATCAGCAGTAATTAATTCCTAATAACATGATTTTTTGTATAGCAAAAAATAAAAAGATCTCTTTAACTTCATTATAAATAAAATTTGATTTTTATTGCTTGCAGGCTTTACAATTTGTTACTATTCTTTTCCCCTTTCTTGTTTGAAGAAGGAAATGGAATCAGCCGAGGTTTGCCGAAAGCTCTCGGCGAGTCAAAGTTTACGGAGATGACCGAGCGACAACCGTGGTAGGGCTAATGCCAGTAAAAAGCTAATGTAGAAATACAAAATCAAGAAATTCAAAAGAATTATACGGCCTGATAGGTGTAGATCAGTTTACAGTTTAAGATTGTTGCTAAAGACGGGAAGCTTTTTAAAAAAGCTCTACTTGTTAAGACTAGTAAATCATTGAAACGCGTCTTCTGTCTCTTTCCGAGCATCGAGGACATTATTTATTGAACAGCCCTCGTAAATTGTTTTTGTCCTGTTGATCTGTTTGTATGTTTCTCTGTCTGTTGTCAACTTTAACCTTCTCCATAACTTTTGAACCGTGAAAGACAGATACTTCATATTTCGTATGCATACTCCACTAATTAAGCGCTTTAAAATGACACCAATGAAATCAAATTTATTCTTTGTGTATATATATAATAGATTTATCGTGTGTCAAACGTTTTACACAGATAATTCACTGCATGCGTGTATAATATCTGAGATATATATGACATATCGGTTAATCTATATGGTTTGAAACTGACATTTTATTTCAAAATCATTCAGCATATATGCACTAAGTGGATAGGGTAGACTTGATATGATTAAAAACAATATAATAAATTATAAAAAGTAACTTTACAGTTTTTAACCAGGAAGAGCATCCTCTTTCTAACACAGACATTAATATTAAGAAGAGTTGAAATTATCTTAATAATTAAGGAATAAGGTATCATTTTCTGAGTTTTATTGGGATGTAAAACGGGTTGGTCACGTGATCAAATCCCAAAAAGTCCGAAGGGTTCTATGGAAGATTTGATCATGTGCCAACCCGTTTTACATCCCAATTAAACTAAAAAAATGATACCTTATCACTTATATTTACATTTATAATTAATTACAAATAGTAAGGTACTTAAGTAAAGTTTGAAATTCATGACGCTTTTTTTCCAAAACTCAGCGGTATAAATTGAATGTGTTGATAACGTCGATCGCTTATGACGTCACTATGAAATTACGTAGATCGCTTATGACTTAACCGTCAATTTATGGTCACATGACGAACGTTTTTTACGGAGATGTAAAACCGCCTTGTTCAAGTAGTGTTATATATGGGAAAACATTTGCAAATGTAAATATAAGAAATTGAATAGTGATATTGAATTATAACATATGATTTGAAGAATTTAACATGACATGATGAACTATAGTGTTAATACTTTCAGCAATTTCGAATTCGCCTTATAATCAATCGCCCAAAAATTCTATCAGGTACAAGAAAGAAGGTACGAAAAGTAATAATCAACTAAACATCGAACAGTCAAATTCCTTAACTACTGGTATCATCAGTCTCTTATCCATAGCTGGTGTTCTTATGTTTATTTACATCGGTACATATTTTGCAAGGTGTGAGTATAGCAAGAGAACGTCGACACAGATACGAAGTAATATTTGAGCTACTTTTCAGACGATTTCAGAAATCGCTCAAATAATTGTGAACTGTTTACTTTGTTGAGCTTCACTTTTGTTCAGCGCATTTTTACCGGAATAAAAATATAATTATATATTGCACAAAAGTATTACATGTTTGTTATATAATTAATATACAAATTATGAAAAGTTCAGTGCATGTTTATTTGATGAAATGCAAAATAGAGTTTTAAATAAATTTAATAATGATATAAAGAGGAGTGATTTCTTGAAAGAAAAAAAACCCCGTAGATTATTAGATAAAAAAATGAGATTAATTACTTTAGTAACTGTTATTTATTTAGTACTTGTTTTTTTTCTGTTGACGAATTATAAACTATGGTTTCGATAGCAAATCTATGGTGCTTTCAATAGTATTATAAGACATCTGAAATGCATGTTTTAGTGCTAGTATACACCAATTGACTTCTGATGCTGTTAACGCCTGACGCAAGAGAACGGGTATTACAGTGTACATGTAATTGACAGAGCACGTAGACTAAGATTAACCGATACCCTACAACGTTGGCTCAGTCCATATAGCACTAACATTCTAAAGTCAAGTAAATAACCATTTTAAAAATATAATTATTTGAAAATTTTAAACATATGTATTACTTTTGTTCTTTCCGCCGCCTTGTATAATGTACATGTAGATAATCATTATCTAATGTATAGTGGAACAACATGAAATGTAAAAATAATGAACAGCATTAAAGTTCAACAGCCCAGTGAAACAATACAAGTAAGAGAAAAAGCAAGCAGAGACCACTAAAACGTTGGAGATGGGATCAGGTGCCACGAATTCGAAGAAAAAGACATTCTGTCGACCGTTCACAACCGTCGTTGGCTTCGTGTCATGTTCAGGCAAACGAGAAAAGTCTTAATCTATGCAAGATGAATATAATGGTCAAAATGGTATGAAAAAGTCGGACAGCGTACACCTCAAAAATTAAATTACCCTATTCATGAATTGACAACAGCGGGACTACTTGTATTTTTGTCCCCCGCTTGAAAAGTGGGGGATATTAATTTGGGTTTGTCCGTCCGTCCGTCCGTCCGTCTTTCTGTCTGTCTGTAACGCTTTCGTTTCCACACGATATCTCGAGCACCCTTTGAGCTTTTGCAATGAAATTTAGCATAGCAACTCCCTATGGACTAAAAAAGACCCCTATTGATTTTGAGGTCAAAAAGTCAAAGGTCAAGGTCATAAATAAGCAAATTCTGTCTGTGAAAACACTTTCGTTTCCACACGATATCTCTAGAACCATTTGAGCTATTGCAATGAAATTTTACATAACAACTCCCTGTGGCCTAGTGAAGACCCCTATTGATTTTGAGGTCAAAAGGTCAAAGTTCAAGGTCGAAAATTTATACATTCTGTCTGTGTGTAACACTATCATTTCCGGGCGATATTTCAGGAAGATTTTGAGCTTATGCAATGTAATTTTATACCAAAACTCCCTAGGACCTCTTTCGCCCCTCTCAAAGTGCCCCGCCCCGTTTGTTTTATTAGTATTTATAGTATTACATGTCGCTATTTTTAGCGCAGGGGCATGAGGCGAGTTATTGCGTATGAAACAGGTTATCGGCGGACTTTATGTTCTTGTTACATCTATTAGAACTGTTTAATAAAGGCTAAATAAATCAAACACCATGGATTGTGTAAAATTTTGAGAATACCGAACATGAATATATACATGTATGTGACTTCAGTTCTGCATATACTTCTCGCTGTGTAAAGCGATTCCGTGGTCTAGTGGTTATGTCTCTCGCTTCACATGCGAGAGATCCCGGGATCGCATCCCGGTCGATCCTTTCTTTTTTTCTTTTCTTTTTTTTTTTTTAAATACATGTACTTTTCTTTTTTTTTTTTACTAAATGATAGTGTTCAGCATGTGAAATGAAAAAATTATGAGGTTATAAAATCATCATTACAGTGTGATAAATATTCCATATAAAAAGAATCTTCTATACACATAATAAAGAATAAGCAATCAAATCTGTATATGCATATTGACATACATGTATTTTATTTGCCTCAGTATACATGTATACATTTAATAATTCTACAAATTCAGTCAGGGGGATCCGACTTTTTCCCTAAGCGGGGGACACGAATTCTCTGAATTAGCTTGTTGCCATCGACTTTTTTGTTATAGCTTATATCGTTTTAGAAATTATTCTAACGTAGAATGCAAAAGAAAAAAAAACAAACAGAAACAACAACAAAAAACAATGAGATAAGCTTGTCGAGCACTGTGATGCCTTTTATTTCGAGTTCCAAGGAATATATCAACTCAACTTACGTAGGAATAATAAAAATGGATAATTATTCTTATTTGATATATCATATTTTTATGTATATATACTAGTATAAAGATTTTGTATATAATTTATATAGAAGTTGTTGAAGGAATTCGGATTGAAAGAAAATAAACAAATAAGTCAGATACAAAGAACAAGGTACAGTTTAAATACAAATGAAGCCCTATATTTTTCTAAAAAAAATTAAAGTGATATAAAAAGTCAAATTCTGAATCACAGAAATCCCATGCGGTAAGAATACACAAATCGTTTTTCTCATATTACCTCCTAAATATTAATTGTGACGTCATTAACTTGTGTTTTTTCCCGTACTTTCTTAAAAAGTTACAGACGACATCAATTTTCAGTGGAATTTTCTTTCAGAAAACATATTCTGCCACCAACGCCCAGGAAGATTTTGAGATATGTCATTTTTCACAGCAGTTTACATGATATCTCCAAAAATTAAAGTGGGCGACGGTATTAGACACTATTTTCTAAAGGAAAATTAGCACAAAATGAGTCATTTTGAGGCTTTTCTGCATTAAAACTTAGAAATGCACCAAATTAATGACGTCATATTTTCAGAGAGGTCCTTCTTCAAGTCATATCTTTTTTTAATGATTTATCATATTCATATACTCAACTCTTGTTAAAGCCAAATTCATAACTTTTTAAGAACATCTAATTTTTAGGGCACAATAAAGCTCAAACTGTACCTTCTTTACAATTGCATTGACCAAAATGTGAGAAAACAATGCCAATGTAATAAGAATAGTAAACTATTACTGATTAAAGTTTATAAATTATTTACGATGCAAGGAGAGAAGTTTGCTCAATAATAGCGTCTAGCATTTTACGTTAACAACAACGCTTGCTTTAATCTTACGCTGAATTTGATTAATCAGTAAAATAAAATTAAACTAAGGTGAAAATCTTGATTATCATCCTGAAATTTCCAGGAAAACGTGTTCCGAGGCACTCTTAAGGAAAAAGACTCTGGACAATGCAGGTTGCGTCGGAATCCCTGTTCTTTTAATAATGGATATACTTTATATAGACTAAGATTTTGATTTCCTTTCCACTAAGCATTTGGGAAAAAAGAGCAATGTCCTTGGGTTATTCCTCCTGTCGTATTAAAAAATCTCTTAAGAATATTCCTATTTCATAAAATGTTATCCGTTTTGTCATCAGAGAAACACACGGGTATATACTGTAATTCATTTTTCCTAAACTATAATGTTCTTTTACATTTAAAGTTCACAATATGCAAAAAGCGGCAATCCTATCCAGATTGACTTCAAAACTTGACCAAGGCAAAATAATGCATTATCTTTATTCTCTTTCTTGAATTCAAGTGTTTTGCCTTATTTTCTTGTCAAACGTATAAAATCCTACTTACCTATATTTTTTCCAAATTACCGAATAAACATGTATTTAAAAAAACTAACACGGAGTCTTTTAATATATGTTTTTATTAATATTGAGTATATTGCAAGAAAACAACAAAAACATGGACTATATACAAACAAAGCACAATTTTTCAACTTTTCATGAACAGACCAGCTGTCTGAAAATTTAAAAATTACCAAGGCAACAAGTTCACATTTTTAACAAAAATATTATGCTTAAAAAATAAAATTCCACTTTTCTTTCTCTTGAAAATAATATCAAATTATTGAGCATTATTTCATTACATGTTTGTGACATTCACGTGCAGGACGATAATTAGGCTTACGCATACAATTTTAATACGGCTACAGAGAAAACAATATAATGCAACAAACAAACAAACAAGCAAGCTAACAAAAAAAAAAATCAAACAAAATTCATATACATGATGCAAGTTTAGAAATGCCTGAAAACAAATATATTTAATCTGAACTCAAAACCCACAAATAGGTAAAAGTATGATTAAATAGTAACTTCCACAAGATATATAAACTGAAAGTTATAATTTTGATTCGAGTTATGAATTGATATTTGTTTAAAACTCGAGAGATGCGTGATAGCAATTGTTTAAGCACAAAAGTACGAAATACAAATAACAAAATTTCAGCACATTAAGCATTATCAATATAAAAAAAAATCAAATATATACACGTTAGTTAAAAAGCAGATGCATATTTAGGAATTTGTTCACGCAAGTTTTGTCAAAGGTATTTCAATTTTTTTCGCTCGCGTTTTCATTGAACTTGTTGTCAAACTCCATTTTGACATCAATAGTACTGACGTACGCCATGTTTTCCACTCCATAGGACTTTTGTGGATGAGGATCTATGGACTCATACTCCGGAGGATCGGAGGCGGAATACTCCGGGAGTTTTCCCTTACCCGGAACCTCGTATTCCGGCGGGGATGCGCCATATATAGCGTAAATTCCATTATCAAAGCCATTGTTGAACGAAGCGGATGGAGACCTGGTTCTATTGTTGGCTGCGCGCGCAGCAGCAGATCTACGACAGCATATATAAAGAACGACAACAACACCAATAGTTATCAGAGCTCCAAGGGCTGCACCAATTCCTGTCGGTAATAGAAAAAAATGAAAAGTCAAAATACGCTGCTTTCACAAAATAATATCATGAATCTAAAAAAGATTAAGACTTTAATTAGGATAGAATTGTTTTATAAGAAAACTATTTTCAGTAGTGAAGACATGGAAAAAGCAAGTAATAAAGTTCAGATGTCCATTGGAACAATATAAATTCGACAAAGAGCTAATTCGGACCTCTGCAGATATCAGAGGGGGAATCAGGTGACCTTGAGGAAAAATCAGCCTCTTTTTACCAGTCACATTCAGAATAAAGATTGACCTTCATATAATTAAGCTTAGAATGACATTAGAACAATATGAATTTGAAAGGAAAAAGATTATACACAGACCTCTTAAAGCCTCGGATGTGGGATCAGATGCAAGGGAGAAAAAAGCAGCTTCCTTTTATCGTTTACAAGCAGAATAATAAGGTAGCAAAACATAATTATAAGTACTCACCGATGAACATTTTATTGCCTTCCGCTGTTTCCTCTTGAACTCTTTTCATTTGATGAGGCATGCTGATATCTGTGGAATCTGGTATTATAAAAATCATATATTACAATTACATTAAAAGGCTTTTAAATTTTAATTGTTATAGCTCTTAGATAATTAATTGTTCTATGTATAAATATTGTTAGATATGACATATTTTTATATTACATTGAATTATCATACAGCAGCTAGCAGAAAGGGCACTTTTTATTATGTATTTAAATGTTAATGTCCATCCTAAAGTATCAGCACATGGACGAAGAAAAGATAGTCATAAGGTTTTGAATTAAAAAGGCTTCCTTACTTATATGAGAAGAATTGTTCATCTCCAGATTTTATAGCCGATGGATGCACAGAAGAGTACAAGAACTTAATAATTGATAAAAATCAAATAACTTCACCAACCTTTCTCCCAGACTGAAACTTTAAACTGGCACACAGCAACATTTCCTTCAAAGTCCCTGGCAATGTAGCCAAGTAAGTAGTTCCCACTTGGAAATTTGGTGTTATTACCTCGTGAACCAAGGAAATCAATACTACCTATTCCTACATTGTCATTGACAGTTGGTCTGTCCCACATTACAGATTCTGTGGTAAAAAGCTCGATGTTGGAAGGACACGAAGCGAAAACCGGAGGATGAACATCTGAAGATTTAAGGGATTCAAGTTATTTTTATGTATAAAATGCAAAATGAAATGATGCATTTCCATAATTTTATAATAAAAGGTAAAATTCTAGGCCCGATTAAATTGTCTCCAACAATCTAAGTACAATTAGTCGAACAAGAACAAGACTACCTTTCACTTTCACGGCCATAGCGCATGTTGCGATGCGTCCGTACTTGTCTGGTTTTGATTTTGCAACAACATTGTGAATATTGCGTTGACTCTGTGGACACATACAGTGCTCAAGTTGTAATGCACTAAGGGAAACTTCCAAAACTTGGCCCCAACCATCAATGACTTGAAGTTTTGGTAACAGATATTTCTGAAGGTCTACTAATCTATCATACGAATTGACCTCCAACGTAATTTGTGCTGGACACCGTTGAAATTTTGGTGCTGAGAAGAGATAAGCAATCATATTAAACATCATAAGCAAAATATTAATTCTTTACATGAAAAACAACATCACTGGAGTTTCAAAATGTTCCAATGTTTGTTTAACACTTCAGAAATCTTGATAATTAAATCAAATGAATACTTACGAGGAACTGGAATTTCTGAAAGTATAGAATTTCAAAGTGAATAATCATTGTAATAAGATTTAAGCAATTGCTTTACATTTCTTAAGAAATATTGATGAAATAAAAAGAATTATTAATAATTTTATCGAATAAAAAGAAGGTATTTCAAATGTACATCATCATTTGCGTGGTGCAATAGACTTACCTTCACAATATGGACAGCATCGTTCTTTTGAGGCTTTGTACTCAAATCCTGGTGCACACATGATCTGTGGACAGTCAGTTACTGTACATTTAAAGCCACTGGCATCGTATCCGTGACCTTGACCCATACATACACAGTTCTGACATACTGATTTCTGAATTTGTTCGCCTTTCCGGTACGTCACGTTTCCAACCTTGCAGATATTTGGGTCTAGGGGGACACTACATTCATGTCCACATCCATTAGAACAACATTTATTATCCCCTGGACATTGCAAATCATGGGAGCACATTTCAGCACAAATGCCTACACTTCCTTTGGTGGATGGACATATTCCTTTCTTTTCACCAACTTCTGTAATCATAAAATACGCATGCATTAAAAATTGAAATACAGATTACATCATCTAAAAGTTACTGGTCCCCTGTTTGAAAATAATGATGAGAATAAAGAAAAACTTAAATCACATTACTTGATTCGCAGTATTTGCCCGAGAATCCGACGGGACATGCACACATCACGTCACGGTCACCATTGGCAACGCATCGTCCTCCATTTTGACAAGGAACTGGACATCTGGCTAATTAAAAAAAAAATGAAATATAAACTAGAAAGTCTGCTATTGCAAGCAAAATATCTTATGTCGTCCAAAACTGGTCAAGACTTTCATTTTTTTTCATCCCTAAAACAATGCCCATTATAACTAAGCTTGGAAAATCATCAATTCGTATCAGTCCTTTCAGTACTTTGATTTAAAAATCAGTTAAATAATTTTCACATTTCACCTGTTTCCATGGAAACTATTGACAATTTCCAATTTTTAAATCCAATGAGCACAATAACAGATGCTAATCATTAAATAAAATTTCATGAAGAATATTCCAGGGACCAGAGAGAACACTCGCGGACAAAATTCGTCGCTTTTTGCACGTTTCCATGGCAACGGAAGCGATTTTGAAACTGAATGACCAAACAACATAACTTCAATCAGTGATCCTCCTTTGAGAAAAGTTTCAGGAATATTGTCCCAGTCATCTCCGAGAAACAGCCTGGAGAACATTAAAACATGCGTACAATCGCAATCGCGACTTCTTTCGGGACGACATAAATATAGTTAACAACTATCTTATCTTTAATTGATTTAAAATGAAAATCGGGACGACATAAATATACTTAACAACTATCTTATCTTTAATTGATTTAAAATGAAAATCGATACGAAATCGAATGCAAGATTTAATTCTTCTTCCGTTTAAGTTATCTTAATATTTTAGGCAAGATTTTGGTTTAAATGAGACAGCCGCTTAAATTTGTGTAAACGAGTTATTATATAAATAGCCTAAAACTCTAGGGGTAAATATCGGAATTACTTATGGTGTGCAAAATCTAAAAAGAACATTTTATTTGCAAATTAAGCATTTATATTAGTAGACTAGTAAGCTTGGCACGTTTTAATATTCACCTCAAGAACTTTCCGTTCCATTTGTGAACAAGTTTACCTATTTTGAATGTTTTGCGTGTTATTAATTTAAAAAGAGAAGATTTCTTTATATAAAAATATAAAATACTTATTAAATAATTACCAATTTCACAGAATTCTCCTTGGAAATATTCTGAACAAATGCACTTTGGAGAACCCTGATGTAATCGACAATCTCCACCATGCTGACAAGGTTGTTGACATTCAATTGCTGGAAATGAGAAATGACCAGGATGCAATTCCCAATATTGCTTAAAAACAAAATACATAATCTGTCTCCAAACAATTAATTTTGCGCAATTTATTCTACATACCTACACATCTGGCACAACATTCCCCAGGGAGTTTCTTGTATGAATATCCTGGCGCACAACCCATCATAAGAGGACAAGGCGTCTCTCTACATGCAAATCCACTCGGTTCTTCTGCATTTCCTTGTCCTTTACAGATACATGTAGTACAGTTGTCTTTAGTAATCATAGTGTCAATGCCATACGTCATGTTCTCGTGAATACAAATATGGGGATTCAATGGCGGAACGCACACTTGGCCACAGGAAGTCAAACAACATTTCTCTGAGCCTGCGCATTGCCAGTCACTATTACAGCTATTTCCGCAGAGATGAGAGCTTCCAACCCGTGGGCATATTCCCTCTTTGTCAGGAATTCCTAGATAAAAGTTTGTTAAATCAGCTTTGGGGCACTTCTTAAAATCGTTCAAATAATTATGAGAGCGAGAGAGAGAGAGATATGAAATTTAATTACAATTTTGTTTGATTTTTATGATTATATTAACAGAGGTATTACGAACGAGTTTCACAGTGCCTTCCAGTGTATGCAGGACCACAAAGACAGACGTTTGAAGTCCCTCCAGCAATGCAAGTCCCTCCATTCAGGCAAGGTTTGTCACAGACGGCTAAACATATTCAAAAATCGAATCCTTAGTACCTGTAGATTACTACTCAGTATACTTGTAGATTCATATTACAATAAACAATATCATTGTGTATTTCTTTTGTGCTTAGAAAACTTTCATTAGATATTGTATCTGATCTAAAGCATGTTAAATTTTTATGTTCTGTACATTTCTATAATCAATTATGCAAATAAAAAAAATACTCACGTGTGTCACATGATGTTCCTCGGAAGTTTGCTGGACAGATGCATTGTGGGTTTCCGTACACAAGATCACAGTGGCCTTGGCCACAACTGGTGGGACATTTTATTGCTGAAGATAAAAAAAATTCATCATACAGTAATTCTCATAGAAATCCTACATTTTAAAAAATGTTTACAAAACAAACAAAACAATTTTGATTTCAAACGAAATATATAAAAATATTACATTTTTATAATTTTAAAACCATTTTTAGGAAGATTGATATAAAAAATATAGAAGAAATATCTCACCATGACATGATTTGAAAAGCGTACGGAACATTAAAGCATTGCTGTAAAAACAAGGGAGCGTTTGCTATTTTTACAGATTGTGAGAGTGTAGTGTGTAAATGTAAAAGAAAAAAAATCGAACAATGACCAATCTCATAAATCCAGTTAGCAGAACTTATCGTGCATAAAATCACTGACCCCTGGCACCGAGAGAGGTGGAATGAGGTGCCTAGCAGGTACCCATGTCGATCGTGATACAGACAATACCTAATTATGGTATTCCTTGTCCTATACAGTTTAATATTTTATGTGCTGAAAAGAGCATCTAATATGTTATACCTTTGAATCTTAAGCATGACATACCTTCACACTGCCCACAACATTGCCCAGGGATATTTCTATACACCATTCCATCGGGACAGGAAGTGACGAAACAGTCAATGGTGTAACAGTCAAAACCAGAAGGGTCATATGACATCCCTTCTCCCTGGCAAATACAAGTAGTGCAGTCGTCTTTCTTCATCTGCTCTCCGACATTGTATGTATGATTCTGGTAAACACAGCGACTCGAGTTGATTGGCTTCATACATTCATTGAAACCGCAGCTTTGGTGATAACAGCATTTGTTGACGCCTGCGCAGTCGTTATCAGTGCTGCATCCTTGACCACAAGTGTTACTTGGCATGTTGATTGGACAGTCGCCCTCTTTTATAACTGAAACACCAATGTATTGTTACAAAGGCAAATTGCGAATATAATTATAATATCAGAAAGAACATGCAATCTTGAACTATACCTATTTCGCAGAATTTGCCAGCATATCCGGCTTTGCAGCGACATCTAGTCTCACACGCGTCTGCAACGCAGAGTCCGCCATTCAGGCATGGCTTTTCACAGATGGCTAAAATTCGATTGAAACTTTTTTAAAAACCTTAGTAATATATGCATTTTTCAATGAAATTAAATATTTTTTTGAAATAGCAATTGAAGCAAAAGCTACACCAAGTCAAATTTATTGAATTCTTAATTCATTGAAATCATTTTTTATTATATCCATTTTATCTTACGTGTATTTAGGATACTTTAAGAACTTTCAATATTCACTTACGTGTTTGACATTGATCGCCACCAAAATTTTCGGGACAAACACAAATTGGCTTTCCATCTCTAGCTGCACAATGGCCATTGTTTTGACAGTCTGGTTTGCAAACAGCTGCAAAGAATATACATCATTAGATAAGTGATATAAACTCAAAAAATATTCTAAAAAAATCAATATACCATACATTCTTCAGTTATTGATTAGAATTGAAAATATTTCTTATGATAATATTATTCTAAATATCTTGTATTTTTTGTTACCGTTGAGATTGTCTGAAGATTTAACTTTTAATCCAAAATTCAATAAAAAGTATTTGCAAGTGGTGTACTTTATTAATTTATTGTTTAATTTTTTCGTTTACTTTGAATTAAGAAATAGGTCGTCATAAAAAAAGTGCTAGATAGCTAATTGTCAAAGAAATGTCTCTCTTTATAATCCTTTTTTACATGTAAATATAGCATCCCATGAGATGGGAAAGATTTTTTATGAGTTTGTCCGCCTAAGAATACAATTATTGGAAAATTATATGTAATGTGAATAAAATACTTACGCGTCTCGCAGTGAGTTCCTATGAACCCATCAAGACAAACACACGAGTTATCAATAAGGGATCCACCATTATCACAATATAAAGGACCAGTACCACTCTCCGCTATTTAAAGAAATAAAAATATGCCATCTAACTCATTCTGCACGAATACCAAGATCGATACATGTAAGGTACTAAGTTTATGTCATCTTGGGTTCTCAATTATTCAAACCGATAATGTAAATCGTATGTCTGAAATTGCCTTGAGGAGACTTGAAGTTTACTGATTAAAATATGTGTGACAAGTTAATCGATTTATGAACATATAAATTTACATGTAAGATAATAAATTATATTTATTACATCAATGAAAAAATACTGCACAAAACTTCCCTTTGTTAGTTGAAATGTAAAAAAAATGCAAAATCAAAAAGTCAATAACTAAGAATAATTAATGATTTATCAATTAAAATAAATTAATTTAAATGTAGTCTTACCGATAGAACAATAGCCATATACATCTTCATTCCACCCTGGACAACAACTCCAGATGTTGTAATTAACAGTGACATTGTAAGCAACCCACAGAGGGCAAAGGTTATACCAGGATCTAAAAGAGAAATGTGCTGAGATTACAGACTTTTAATGTGTAGAAAAGTTCTAGTACATGCACTAATGATTTGTACTGTAGCGATTTTGAAGTTCATTCGTTTTGCTTTTGTAACCATCGAATACTTTCCTTTCAGATTACAGATGCATTAATGGTGTCAATTTTAGATTAAGATTTTAAACACAGACGATAATTTAAAGTTCTATACACGAAATATAAATCATTGACCTAGTTAAAACCGATCAATATTAAAGATCTTATTAAATAACCTACTAGAACTACCTAAGCTAATGTTTCTCTATATACTTTAAGGAAAATATTGCAGTGAATATGAAGAAAATAAGATTGTATAAAATGTCAATATTTAGTTTATCTATTACGTATTCAAAAAGGGTAAGGTACCAGCCATTTACTTCCAAAAGTGTGGGAAGACAATTTTTTTCATGTTTAATTTGGTAAAATACTATTGAATGAATAAGTTTAAGTTTAATTATATTGCCTAATCCAAATAAAATGCAAGGATCCAGAATGGTTTGTCAGTCTAGGGGGTTAGGGCAGATAGCAACATCTTCAAGGTCTATGACAAATATATAATTAAGAAGAAAGGAATTGTGTAAACTCCGTCAGTCTCTTCATAGTCTTATTTCATCTCACAGGATATCTCTCATTTATAATGACCAATTTCATTTTCTTGATATGCGTAATTTGCTTTTCCATCCAAAACTTGGAAACATCTGCATTGACCAACTAGAACCTATATGTTGATAGAGCATTAACTTTTTGTTCAAGAAAACAACCTTCCCGAAGACCTGCGCCTTCGGTCACTTCCATCCGTTCCACACCAATTCCATTCTTCTTCGGATGGATGCTCGTCGCCATAGTCCTCTTGGAGAGCATCGATTTCGTCACAGGGCCACCAAAACAAGTCCCAGTGAGTCTCATTCTTGGTTATGACGTCACAACACCAATGGTCGCCGTTAGAATCCTCATCTGTTCTGGGACAGTTACGACGACGACGTCTAGACGTAAATATCATCAGTTATTTAATCAGAAACCGTATATAAATGACATTCAAGTATTATAGTATTGCAATGTTTTTATCAACTTATCTTTTTTATTTCTTGTTCAGAAATAGAGGCTACATGTACCAGCGTATGGAACTTTTTGCTTTAAAACAAGAAGGACATAGGTAATCTTGACCGATCGAGTGACGTCTGAAATTTTTGTCTTACCTTGAAATTTTTTTTTGATGATGAACTTATAATTACACACTAAAAAATCTTTGAACGGGTAAAAATAAGTATGAATAGTGTTACTTTTTATTATTAATGCTTTTTTGGGTACAGAATGTATTTTGACAAAATTTATTAATTCGTAATTCCTGTTTATAATTTCAATACCGATTTTAAACATACATAAAGTATTTTTTTCTTATTATCCATATACAGTAAAAACAGCAACAGTATGAAACTTCGTTGAGCACAGAATTACCTTTATTTTGTGTTATACAATTTATAAAAAAAGAGGCTAGCTGCTGTATTATCAATACGCACATTTGTATTCATTTCGTATACAAGAAATGTTTTGCTATTGTAAACTAGTTCTTGATTCTATTTTAGTCCCTTTCAAAAACATTCAGGTAAGAATAACATTTTAAAGGCGTTTGACAGTGTTACCCTGTATTTTCTTAAATAGATTTTGACATTTAGAACATATCAGATTTACCCTTGCCAAATGAAAAAAAGTTTCCCTATCCCTTTTTTAAAAAACTTCTTGTGTTTATTTCAACCTTTTAATTATTCAAGCTTGACTAAACATGGACTTCAATTCAATGTAATAGATACAAAAATTCTTTGATTTTGAATTCCAAGCAAGGAAGTATTATAAACAAAGCGATTCTGGCATGCTCAGCATTTAAACAATTATATCTATTGTACAAAAAGAATACATTTTTCCACGAGACAGACCAGGTATACCTATGAATATAGAACAGCTGGATGTCTTATATTACCCCTTCTCTGTAATTATCGATGACAAAGGGGTTTTCCGCCATTCAGAGAAACCACATGCTAACGATAATTTATATAAAAAAGCATTTAAGTACGGATGACAAATTCTTGAAGTGAAGGGTACATTTACAGCTTAATCATGTCTATTTTTCTCACCTCTGTGATTATATTGTGAATAAATTGCACTGTAGAGTTTTTGTTTTACAGAGTACATGTACCTGAGAGAGAGAGAGAGAGAGAGAGAGAGAGAGAGAGAGAGAGAGAGAGAGAGAGAGAGAGAGAGAATAACTATATACACTTTCATACAGTTTCTGTTTAGATATACTTTAAGACCTGTCAAAGTACATATTAATAGATTAACCGAGATACGTATGTTTTCAAATAAAACAAATATATAAATAAATTGCGATATACAATTCAGAGTAATGTAAATCTGCAGATTTAACATTTTTAAAGTGTAAATCTGCAGATTTAACATTTTTAAATAATCTGTTGTAGTTTGATTACTTGACAACCACAAAGACAGATAAAGCATTGGCAGAAAATGCATCAAGAACATGTATCTCCAAAGCAATTTAAAAGTTTAATATCGACGAGCAAAAAATTTTGTTGTTCTTTAAACTTACCTTAACATACAGAAAGTACATATAATGCTAATATGTATGTGAAATAGGCATTAACTCCGATATGAATTTTGAAATCAGTCTAGAGTATCTTTATTTCACATCTTTGCGATACTAATTGGATGCTTCAAATTTCTTTTCGTATTTTCGAAATCAATATTAGTAATTTTTGTTTTCTGATATTTGCAGTTGTTAAAATACGAAAGGCTCTCTTAAATCGTAGCATATATACGGAACGGTTTATTTTCTGCCATGGACGATGTTGCAAAGAATGTAAAAAAAAATATGATATGTTTAGAATGACCAACGGATGACATATCAAGATAAGGTTCAAAATTATAAGAAATGACAATTTCTGCTTAGAAATTAATGATTTAGTAGTTAAATTCACAAGTTTATTCCAGCTAGCCTCCTACAATGTTATATCTTCATGTATTAAATGTAATTAGTATCACAGTAAGAACGCTTTGTAAAAAGTTCTTCCTTTCTTCCGATCTGAATATTTTTCAACAATATGTACTTACCTTTTTACCCTTTAGCGTCATCGTATAAATTTCTTGAGTAATTATTGAATGTTTTATGTTTATTTTCACTAGAATACGTACATGGTACGAAGAATAATGCTGGATCCATTTAAATATCCAATCCAAAGAGACAAATCTCGGTATATTACGGTCTCAACCTTTACATTTGTCAAAATTTCAGAATCTAATTAAAAAATAAAGTTATGAAACTAGAATTCAGTTCTCAAAATAAAATACTCTATATACATGTATATACTGTGGTTTCATCAATATTCGTTGAGCATCAATTTTCGAGCAGATCCACGAATTCAAATGTTAACGAAAATGGATTCCAACGAAAACTGATGAAATCACAGTATTTTAGAAAGAAAATATGTATCGACTTGTCATCGGGAAAAATTGTCCGATTTTATTTTATGTCAAAAATTAAACTCTTATTAAACCAAATCATTTTATCTTTCAAGTAAAATCTCTGCACTTTCAGAGTATAAAATATAAAAGAAATGATTTTTTTAGTGAGAGCCCACAGATTTCAGAACAAAAGTTGTGAAGATGCAGTTGTACATGTGAGTTTGCCAAGTTTTATTCCATCTACCCTTTTATTTGTAAAATGGGATTGTTTCGAAAAAAATTAAGCAAAAACACTAACAAGTAAACAGGCAGTTTCTATGAAAAGGTAAGAATGAGGGTTATGACTTCAGAAAGAAGAGATAGATAGTTAGAAAACATGTTTAATATACTCGTATTAAAGAGTACATATATATTATTATTTGGTATTTCGTCAATAAATCAAAGAAAATCGGTTAAAAAAATAAGAAAATCTACGTAAAGCCTGAACCTTGTATCAATAATGAATGTGTGCTACAGGTCCACCACGACTTTACATATTTATCTTGCTGAAAATTAAACCCCATCACTTAAAATTTTTAGGTTTGGGGAAATCAAAAAAAAAAAAAAAAAGAAAGAAAAACGTGTACCGTTAAGTGCCTTTAACTCGAGCAAATGAAATGATGATGATATCGAGTATTTCTAGATACAAGTACAAAATATGTCACTTAAAACACTTAAAAATGATCAGCAATTTTTATCAACAGCTTATTCCATGTACACAATGGTACAAAGATGATTAATGATTTGATCACATGGCTCAGAGCCCTTACATATTCATAATATGAAACTGATATTTATTAGTTGGGTTTTACTTAAACTTCTATTTATATTTGAACCTCATCTGTTTTCCTTTATCACAGAATGTCCAATAGACAAAACAGATGTCAGAAATATTTCTCATTCTATAATATCATTTTACTTGTTGTATAAAGAAAATAACCTAAAAAACGTGACAACCATATTAGGACTTAAAACATTTATTGTTCAGGGTCAAGAATTTAGATATAAACAAACCATTTAAATGACTCGAAGTTCTTACCTCCTTCGTCCACTTCCCGCAAGAACCAGAAATGCTGCCAAGACGAAAATCACAAAAATTAGTTTCCTGTTCATTTTGGCCCTCCTTCCGCTCTACTGTTTTAATTTTTTTCCCCTCAGAGTGGTCAACACTATTCTAGCTTTCTCATCTTAGAACATATATATCCGGAATAAACAGGGTAACCCTTGTAGTGTGATATTGAAGCTTAGTGTTCTGCTTCAAAGATTCTGGTCAATAGGAGCCGAGAAACCCGCCAATCAGTGGTTTAAAAGGAAAGCTATGACCTGAAACAAAATTTAGTAAGTACATCAGCACTTCAATTAAACAGTCATTTAAAGTTCCCTTAATTCCTTGCGATTATGGGTTACCCTTTATGCAACTTCATGTATATATAGAGTATTTACATTTTATTCTGGTGCAGAAAAACGTGATAAAATCCAATCTGGCTTACCTTCTTCAACATTTGCCTTCCGCAGTAAATGTAATATTGATTTTTTTGTAATATTTATATCTGGTAGGATCAGACTTGTTATGATTTATTGATTGGATCTCATTAATATGTAATGTTTGTATTATAAAAAAAAAAATCACATTATATAAAAGAAAGGCATAATCAGATTCCTTTTCCATTGATTTTTAAATAAAAATGTCTTATTTGATGAAAAAAGTAGAACCCCCTGGATTTTTCTTCATTGTAAGTATTATCTACTATTATTCAAATTATTCAAGACAAAGGTATTCAGTATATAAATAGATTAATACATATACAGTCTCCAGTTCATGTACGTTAATTCGAATCGATCAACAAAAAGAATGACCAAAATTTAACGTTTCAAACGACATCAGGTATATAAATAATGTTTCTCATATTAAACAGTTACTTGAAGCGTAGAGAAACATTTAATGAGTAGCAAAAAGTGCATGATAAATTCTTCAAAACATGTGCACTGCACATCTATTTATTTGAAAAAATATATTTATAAATATCTAAAAAATATAAAAAATTGAAAATTATATTTTCCATATTGCATTGTAATGAATGGTTTAGAATCTTGATCGGTAGAATTATTGTCTACGTGTGAAGCTTACCGATGTACTAGTATATGCTCAGTTTGTTTTGTATAGGGCAAAAACATGAGTCTCACAATCCTGAATGAATGCATTATACTTTTTGAATTCTCTTTGAAATTTACTTCTTGCTTTGAAGCAAATATTTTATAACTTTAAAACATGTAGTATCTTTTAAGTTGACCTCTTTATGCCTTGGTATATGGTAGAGGTGGACTTAATCCTACAATTAAGTGCGATTTCAGAGGACTGTAGGGTAACGTGTTTAATACTTACGTTTTGTAGGTCAATGACCTTCTTAATAAACATATTTAAGAGCGAAACAAAACTTAAAAATCATCGTCTTCAATTATCCATTTATGTCATTTAATAAAATGATGTAAAATGTTGTTAGAATTAGTTATTAACAACAGTTTAAATCCCATTTGTAATATCTCAAATTAAAATATAACAAAATTGCTGTGCCATGCTTTCATTTCTATTTATAGTGGAAAGAATTCACATATATATGTCTAAGACGGAGACCTTGAGAGGTGTGGGGTTTGTTGTAAAGGTTCATTAAATACCCTTTCACAATTGTCTATTATGTCTATGTTCAGAAGGTAAACAACATCAGAAAAATTGACAGACGTAGGTATTTATCTGATAGTGAATTGAGCTTTTTTATTTAATTGTAAAAGAATATAGTCACCATGAGACGAGGAAGTTAGCGCTAGTAAGGCAGGCCCTACAGGCAAATCTCAAAGATGGTTCTTTTTTAAAAATAGGAAACTAATGTACTTTCATCGCATTCCTATTTGACCTGACCTTCACATCGAAGGAGATAACAATCGTTGAAAAAAGTTTAAAAATAAACGTAAACAAAATGTTCTAATGACATTTACTTCAATATATTGTTGTATTTGACAGTTGACCAAATCGAAGAAAAATATTTTTTTTTTGGATGAATTGAAGTTAATTAAAAAGGTGATAGTGATTTTTGTAAATTATCTACCGACAACAATTGCTTAGCGATTGCAATGGATCCCACATTGTTTAAAACAGCTTTTTTGGTGATAAAGAATTTTATGGTGTGGTGGAAAGTTAACAAAAAAGGAAAAGATATACTGACTGACATTTTGCACACCTGCATGGCATTTTTAGAACACAAACATGAAAGGAGATTCGTATGTTGTAATAGTATACTTTCATGTACATTACTTTAATCTAATAAATACAACATGTAATTTAAAGTTACATTAAAAATTTTCACCCCTCGAAAAGCATTGTCAACCTCGGTGCCTCTGTAAGCAATTGGTTTCTTGGGATTACATTTTCAATGTACCCTAAACTATATGCAGCATTTACGTGATGACATTATGATTATGCATATGGGAAGTATTAAAGGGGCTAACTGACCACTGGTAATTATTGTTCATTGAAAACTCATTCACATATTTTAGTAAATTATAAAATAGACCAAACACATATAAATCAAGCTGCACGAAAAAACTGGTATAATTTTATATGCCTCTACATATGTTTTTAGAAAGATATTTTCTAAATATCTATCAAATATGTATATATATCATTGATATCTAATTCACAAAAAAGATATGCCAAAAATGAAGCTAAAAATGTAAGGTGTGAAATGTAAAACTCATATTGTTATACAAATTATAAGCAGAATGAGATTCAGGTATCTGAGCATGCACACTAATGTCAGAGGTGCAGTATTTTACGTTTTGAAAAAGAAAAAAAATGTAATCACTATTCATGATTTCTGATTTTTATATTTGAAGTTGAACCATACAAAGAACATTTCTACCTATAGAATTATCAATAGCAGGGTCTGTCTGTGTTTCAGATCTAAATTTCTATAACAAAAAGACTTCCTTTTGTGCTAAGAAGTATTTATTAATCAAGGACAGATGATACAAACAAATTTTTCCTTTGGAATAGATTGAATATCATGTCACAAGTTTAGAAAAGTGAATAATTCTTGGATTTTTTTCTCCTAAGAACTGGAAAATGAAATAGACTTGGAAAATATTAGTAATATTTCAATAAAGTTACAAATATGGACAAACCACACTCAGTAAAGGTTTACAGATGAAAACAAATTTTAGAATATGTTACATTGGTGCTAAAAGTGTAATTTAAACTTTAGAAAAGTATACCAAGCCAGGTGAATTTTATCAGGAAAAGCAAAATGTAAAAATCAGCCTATATGATATTGCTGATTTCTTGTCATTTTGCTTTTCCTCATAAAATTTACCTGGATTGGTATATTTTTCTAAAGTTTATATTACACTTTTAGCAACAAAATAACATATTCTGAAATTTGTTTTCACCTGTAACCTTTACTGAGGGTGATTTATCTATATTTGCATTTTTATTGAAATATTACTAACATTTTCCAAGTCTATTTCATTTTTCACTTCTTAGGAGAAAAAATTTCAAGAATTATCCTCTTTTCTAAAGTTTTGACATGATATTAAGTCTCTTCTGAAGAGAAAAATTGTTTGTATCATCTGTCCTTAAAATGATCTATTTAAATATGTAAGCACAAATTTATATTCTGGTTTTGAATTTGAAAAGTTTTCTGTTTTTCAATTTCAACAAGTCAAGTGTGTATTTTTCTATTCTTTGATTTTTATGAATATAAAACTTTTTAGAATAAACACACTGAAATTTTTTTATCAAGTTTAAGTAAATCCACTGATCCACTTCACGTAAACAATAGAACAAAATATGATACAATTTTCGCGTCATGAATCTACTTTAAAACTTTCTTCTCTTGGTCAGGGATACAAAAAAAATTAGAATTATTGCTGCATGTACATGTAATTAAATATGAATAGATATAAAGAAATGATGACATTACGAAAATATAACCCTAAGATGTATTACAAATGTCAGGCCAAGGGTACATGTATTTTAAAATTATTATCTTAAGTTTTCAAAGTTGATGTTATAAAGCAGACTTAAAATTTATCAATAACTATTACCTAATAAAAACTATATGATTCTACTGTAGGTTGCAAATATTTTGATATGAGATTATGTAATGAAATAGAATAATCTTGGTGGATTGAAATGTCTCTAAAATCGTCCAATCGAATCATTTTATATTTAACCAATCAACGTTTATATTACAGCTAATCAGAGTTCCCCAAATATTTACCAATCAGCAATGATTAGCATAGAAGAAAAGGCTTAAATAGAGACACCCATATAGTTATCGGTTACTTAGTCGTTGCTCATTGTCTGACTAACAAATCATGGGCTAGGTTCTTGGGTTGTGTCGGGAAACAACAGAGTTGTTCGTTAGATTACTCAGCTCAGGAATCTAGTTCCTCAGTGACCAGTGTCTTGGTGACTTTAAATTGTGTCATAGTGACTTTAGATTGTGTCTTGGTGACTTTAGTTTGAATAATAAAGGTGTCTCGGTTGCTTGTTAGGGTGTGTTTTAGGTAATGCAAACTGTGTCGGGAGACAACAGAATCGTTCGTTATACCACTCAGTCTGCAGCTACAGAGATAGGTTTTATATTTGATTATTGGTTTGATTATAAGTGATTCTTTTGTTATAGTTCGTTTTTTACTTAGTTTACTAATCATTATCCAGATAAAATCAAGTTAAAATAAATAGAGTTTCAGTCACTTGTTCTTTAAGTGTCATTGCTATTGAAGTTTATTTTGATTCGATATAAGCGTGGTTCGTAAGAAGGAAACTTTAGGGTAACCAACTATTAATCATTTGTACTTTGTAAAAACGTTACAGTTATGAAGAAAATAAGTATATCGAAACACGAGGAAAACAAATAAATGTATAATGGTCAATCACCACTCAACAATGGCTGTCGTTATGTTTAGTTTTCAGTCCCCGTAATAAGCCGCAATAAGAGAGAATAATTATTTACATACTCCGTAATTACTTGATAATTTGTGCAGTGTCCATAAATCGCTGGTTTCCGAGTGTGATTTAACATGTATTACATGTATTTGTAGTCAAAACATGTACACGATAACTCCAAATTCAGATTAATTACATTTCATTGATTTCGAATCAGTTCTTCTTTCAAAATAATCAAAACGTGAGTTTAATTTGTGCGAGTTTAAAAAGTTCACGAACCTACACGCATTTCATCTCCGTTGTTAAAATTAAAAATTATTTTCAAATTTTGGGAATAACTTCTTCCTGCATAGCTCTTTTATGTTCAATGTTTTGCGCTTCTTTTTCCAA